ACTCATTCATAGATTGTGAATTCCCCTTTCATGCCTTTTAGGTGTGCCACTCAAGAATTCCAGAGCCCCAGGAGTAAACTCAGGCCCTGCCCAGAGGAGACATCCATTCGTTCAGAAGGAGTCAGGGCCTGGAGACCAGCGCGAGGCCCCTACTGTCCCCTCGCCCTCCACATCCTTCTCTCCTTCCCTTTCACTCTTACCCCTTCACCCCTGAACCTACCAGCTGCCATCTTAAAGCACTTTCCAGCTTCCACTCAGCAGTTTTGGAACCCTAGGCCGGGTCCTTGGGAATATGGCCAGACCACAGACCCCAGGCCACAGGCCAGTTCTAAGAATATGTGTCTGTGTCTGTGTGTTGGTAGGGGGTCGAGGGGGACAGAGAAGGGTAGCCTGGGGATCACCCACAAACCATTGCTCCATCCTCACTCTCAAATCAGGCGGTCCTTCAGACACAGGCTTATGTAGGCACATCCAGACGATCCAGGGACTACACCCCAAACACCCCCAAAGGAAACACTTTAGCAGTCAGATCAGAAAACGACTCAAGCGAAGACAGCCCGGTTGCTCACAGTACCCGGGCCTCAAGGAAACCTGAGGTGCTCTGTTTCTACATTGGTACCCTGGGTAGCGAGGGAGGGCTGGGACTCCCAGGCCTCTTCCCAGGGAGTTGTAAGCATCTTCGAGGCCCATCTGAAGCACATTTCTCTCACCGATCCCTGAAACTGCTAAGGAACTCATTTGTTTGTGAGGCCTATTCCCCCCCACTCCCAACCTACCGTTCTTTGAACCAGCCCCTGCCTGGTCTGGTTGGGGCCAGCAGATTGTTTAAAGCCCTATGCTTTCCCGGCCAGCCCTGTGCAGAGCCTGGCTCATGTACGCAGCAGGAGCTGCAGGTCAAGGGAGCGCCCACAAGAGAGAGGGTATCAAATTCCCCGCAGCCTCCAAAGACTGGATGTCATGGTTCCCAGTTCTGATTCCAAAACCAGTTTAACCTCTTCTCCAGCCAAGCCTGAGAACCTGCGGGACTCACTCAGACCTCAAGCAGCAGCATCCACTGGGCACTCCGCACTAGACACTCAGGGGCCTACAGCTGAGTGGGGGCTGGCTTCTCCTCCAGCCCTCACTCAGCAAGGAGGCACAGGGCGCACAGACGGGGCAAACATCCCCCGCAGGCTGGGTATTTCCTACCTGGTGAGAAGAGAGATTTAAAGGAGCAAGAAGACTGTTTTAGGATAGAAGCTGCCTACACTCAGTCCACACTTGGAGAGGAGTCCCAGGGGCACTGAAATGCATCAGCGACTTCCTTACCGTTTGTTTCAGGTCCTGACAAAAAGAAAATCTATTTTTGTGGGTCCTCTATAAAATGCCCATTCTTATAGCACCTTTGGGGCACCAAGCGTGTTCCCCTTCATGATTCCATTTGCCTCTCATAAGAACCCATATAACTGCCCCATTTTACAGAAGAGGGGCCTGTGGGCCAGAGTACTGGAGTGTTTACTCAGTTACACAGCAGGCGAGTCTGGCACAAACCTCTTTCTGATTCCAAACCCTGTGCCTTTTCTCCACCACTCCAAACTGCACCAAATGCCTCAAGAATATGAAGAGGCCACAGTGTCTGATGGGACCTGCGTGGGCAAGAGGGGCAGAGGACTAGGAGACCTGAGCTCTAGCCCAGCTCTGAGTGACCTTGGGAAAACCACATCCCTTCTCTGGCCTCAGCTCCTGCACCTAGAGATTCCCCCTCCGCGAGTCTTAACCAGGGACGGTAGCTCTTGGTTCTTCCGAGGAGAACTGAGCCATGTGGGGGCTCTCCTGGGACCCCCGACCCTACACGGCCCCCTACCTGATGACATGCCCACAGCACAGAGTAAAGACAGACAAGAGGAAACTCCCCCCACCCACGCTCTGTGCCCTCGGGGGTGGCTGTAGCGCAATCTTCGCTGAAGAGGCCGAAGCAATTTGTTCCTGCGAGCTTGTCTGATTCCACTTAGCCAGGCACTCAGATCCCCATTTCCATGGATAATCGGAGCTGCCCATGTGCCAATGAAAACAGTCCCAAAGTGGAAAGGACCTGAAGTCCACAGGCACGGAGATGATTATCAAAATCCTGGTACAGAGTATTAAAAGTATAGTTATGCAGTTTTTTTAGCATGGAAACATGCTTTGATAAAAAGTGAAGTACAACAAATCAGACTACAAAACTGCATATTTGGTGGACTCTCAACTATTTAAAACAACAGGCAAAAAGAGTAGGAAATACACCAAAACGGCAACTGTAGTCACCCGTAGAAGTGGGCAGTATGGCTGTCATACATATATTATATATTGATAAATACATATATATTTAACCCCCAAGAATCAGGAAGAAAACTTTTTTTTAAGTTGGCAGTAATAGTCTTAACTTCTTCTATCAATATTTTTCATCCAAGTTCAGAGTCTTTGGCTTACGTCAAGTCTCCCACCATTATTGGAAGGAAAGGTGCCCAAAGTTCCAATCTTGGCTTTGGAAATGCACACAGCAAGCCCCAGCAGAAACCCACATCCCCTTCAGGATGATCCAAAATGCCCTCACGGGTCCTGCAGCTCAGTGTTTACTTTTGCAAAAAGACATTTAAGGATTCCAGGCTTTTCACTTTACATTTCTAACCCATGCTTTCCTATCTTATGTACCCTGGATCAGTAACAGGATGGTGTTAAAGAATTATTGGAAAACGGATTCCATACTCAAACAAGCTGGAGAAGTCCACATCTCAGTTTTAATGAATTAAAAGAGGGTTTTCTATAGAAGGATCCTGCAGGAGGGGCGTATCACATGTATCATCTCCCAGATGAAGTCCACCAACGCCTTCTATTTAGGACTGTCTCCAGGAGTGAACTTCCGCAGACGCAGGCACGCCTGGGTGAGCGCAGCTCCCGTTCCCTTCTAGCCCTGCGGTGTTCAGTCCTGGGTGCACGCTGGGATCACACAGGGAGGCTTAAAAAAAATCCCTTGTTTGGGTTCCACCCTGGATTTGGTCTGGGAGCAGTCAGACCCGGGGCTCAGAACCACTTCTTCCTCACACGCTCTCGGTTGTCCATGCCAAGAAGAGGTCAACACCAGGGTTGGGGTCCAACCTCAGAATGATTCACACATCATCCATTTTGGGAGCTAAAGGACACCTTGGAGAACATCTAGTTCAATCTCTATTTTACAGAAGAGGAAACTATGGCTTCCCAAAGGATTCCTGCGTCCCTTACCCCTCCTATGCTGGTCCCAGCCAGTGGCAGGCTGCCCCTTGGGCCCCCAGGCCTCTGGACCACAGGACCCTTCATTCAGAGGGAGAAACAAAGGAAACTTTCAGATCTCCAAGGCCATTTTGCAGTCAGGGGTCACCCATTGGGCCCCTCTCTCTGGCAAGTAGACCCTGACACAGTGAGACCCTGACTCAAGTCCTTTTCCAAACACAACCCCAGAACTGAAGATGAGAAGCCAGGGAACTGCTGGCTCACAGGAACAGGAAGCCCGTGCTGGCAGTGGAGCAAACATATCATCGTGCCCTTCTGCTGCCAGCGCAGAAGCCAGATGCCTTCTCTCTCCGTGCACTCTGCCTCCACTGCAGAAGGCCTGAGAGGCTGTGCCACAGGCGCCTCGAAAGCCAGCAGACTCCTGCACAGTGGTGATGGCCCTCCGAGCGGATGGCCTGGGGCCCCTACTTTCTCTTGGCCCCCGAACAGGGAATTTTCTAGTAAAAATCTCCACACTTTTCAGTTTCACTTCCTATACCTCCGATCAATCTCCTTTTCCAGCCTTAAGATTCCATGATTTCTTTTACTTTAGCAGCTTTGAGAAAAAACCTAGGAGGATTGGGGAGCAAGTGCTATGTGGAGGGAAAATGAAACACACACACGCACACAGCCTCATAGGTACCAGTCCCTGAGCCCCGAGCTCCTGTTGAACAGCCCTCAGCCTCTGCCTCTCCCCGGAGGCTGCCAGAACACCCTCGCACACAGGGAACACTTCTCCCAGGGACCCTCTATCTTAAAGGAGAATCTCTAGGTGCCCTTCTAAACTCCAGGCCCACAGCTAAATTCCCTGAGAAGTTTCTCCAATGAGCTCCAGTCAGCCCTCTGTGAGCTTGAGGGGGGGGTGACGGGGGAGCGTCCATAGAAGCAAACAGGAGAGGCCCTGTGGGTTCCTTCACAGTTCAAACTCATCCTAGTGGCTGACACTCGCCAGGGGAGGACAGCGAACTGCAGAAGTGGATGGAGGTGGGGGCTACAGGTAGCTACTACCTGGAAGCCGAGCTCAGCAGCAGCCAGTCCCAGGGGAATCCCCTTTCCTGAGGTCACATGTGCGTTAGCTAACCTGCCTGGATGCTATGGTCAAAGGGTCTATCTTTTCTGCTTGTTGGTGTCCGTGAGCTTTACCAATGGAAGGGCAATGTTCACTAGGTCCCCGGTTTCATGAATGACACCCCAGGCTGACCACTGTTCCCACACCTGCCCTGAGGTCCCAGGAGGTGGAGGGAGGTGGGGCGCTGGGAACCTCACCAAGGCCAACTTAATTCTATGGTAATAAATATAAGGCACTACTTTTTAATTTTAAACATAGCTAAGCTATAGAAGGTAATACAAAAGTCACATGCATTTTTCAGAGGAATAAAGAGACCTCAAGGGCGTCTCACCCATCAGAGGCTCCCTTGAGTGCCCCACGGAATCCTCTCCTTTCCCTGCCCTGCGGAATGGATGTTTGTGCCGTGCGGCGACTGGGTTACGGTTCAGCCAGGGTGTTGCGGGTCCTTAATGAAAGCCCCGTTAGTCTGGTCCTCCTCGCCAAGGGGAGCAGCAAAGCCGACTGCCCGCATCTTAGGTGCAGAAATGAAAGCCGCCGCCGCCCCCACGCACCCTTTGGGGAACAATTCCTCCCCGGGAGACCGCACAGGCTCCGCGCGCTCAGGGCGGGTGCGCGCTGCCGGCCGCCACCTGTCTGGGTGCCTAGCCCACCCGCCCGCGATTCCTACCATGTCTCCGGCGGTGACTGGACCAGCTCCTCGGCGTGCTCAACCAGCTCGCCAGCTCATCCCGCCTTCCCCGGGCCGCCCCTGGCGCCGTGGCTCTCCAGGCTTCCCTGGGCGCGAGTTTCCCGGACTGAAAGTCCACAGCTTCCCAACGGCCAAGTGGCCCCACGACGACTCCAGGGCGTGAGAGGCGCGCCGGGATGCTCTGCGGGTGGGGCTGTTAGAGGAGGTCTGGGCGAATGCACGCGGGATCTGCGGGTCTGCGCGGATCTGCAGTCCTGCGGGAGTCCTCCGCAGCCGCGAGGCTCGGCGATCAGCTAGGGACTTTTGCAGAGTTTGCAAAGTCCCTGCCGCGCGTCCCGGCCCACCCTCCCCACTTCCCCGAAAGAGCGGGAGGGGAGAGCTCCTTTCACAATAAAAGCCCTGCCCCGGGCTCAGGCAGCTGCAGCCGCCTGGAGCAGCGGCCCAGGTGCTAGGAAGAAACTGTCCCGCTCGGCGGGTCATGAGCCGAGGCAGGGCGGCGAGGGGCGCCGCGCAGAGCCTGAGCGCTTCGCCCCGACCTCGCCTCCAAGGTGTGCGGGCGCTCTGTGAGCTCGCGGCGATCCGGGAGGGACGTGCTGAGGGTCTCCAAAACCTCGCTCTCCCCTGCAAAGCCTCTAAAAGACAAGGGTTTTTTTGCTCGCACCTCCTACCGTTGTTTGGGCTCAATCCCCAAAGGAAGTTTAGAAGGAAATATGGAAGGAGAATCCCTTGACCACTTAAGGTCACTAAAAATGGGCAGTTTTTCTCCTTGAGAACTAATCAGTGTTTAAAATCTCTGGAGTAAGTGATTGATACTGACCCATCTGCTATGGATGCATAGACAGTGCCTTGTGTCCCATGAGCCACCTACGGTCGGGGCAGGACCTAAGGGTCTGCCTGCTCCTTGTTGGAGAGAGGACGGGGCTTGAAGTCCATCGCCCTGGAATTGGGGGCTGGCCCCTTTGTTAACAGCTGAGTGGCCTTCAGCCTGTGCCTGGACCTCTTTGAGACCTGTGTCACTAAGTGGCCCAATGTTTGGATCTCAGGATTCTTAAGAGCCTGTAGGCAAGAAGGAGGAGGTGGGGCAGAGTCAGCAGTGGGGTGCCCTGAGAAAGTCTGGGAATGAAGCTGAAATATTACCTTCCAAGACTGAAACTAACAAAAATCATTATTAGATGCGCGGAAACTGGCAACTTGCCAGGAATCCCTTGCTGCGAAATGCTTTGGGGTTGTCACTGATGACAGTGCTTCTTAAGGGGAGCAAAGACGCAAAGAGTCTCCTTAAACTGTGTTTGTGTGTGTGTGTGTGTTTGGGGGTGGGGAGACAGATTCAAGGGAATGTATTCATTTCATCATCACAAACAATCCTAAGGGAGAAAATTTATTATCATCATTTTACAAATGAGGAAACTGAGGATTAGGGAGTTGAAGTGACTTTCCTGAGGCCAGATAGTAAGTAGTTTAGCAAACCAAAGTCCATGTGCCAGAGCACGAGAGGAAAAGGAAGAAAATGATGAGCCAGACACGAGAGGCGGGATGCAGTGCTGAAAACTGCAGTTTGTCTGTGCATCGGGAGGACCAGGAGCATGAAAGATCTGAGCACTAGATCAAGAATGGTGAGGGGAGAGGGGTGGGACAGCACAAAGTGTTCAGTGTTTTGTCCAGATGTCAGGGGAGACAATGTGGTCTTTCAAGTCTCCGCTTCTGAGTACGACCCACATAAGCTGTACATTCTATGTTGTAACCCCTTACACAAATATATATGTATAAATGTGACCAAAACAAAGTTTTATAAAATGTTATTACTGCGGTGCACTGTGACATTTTCTTTTTTTTTTTTTTTTTTTTTTTAAAGATTTTATTTTTTCCTTTTTCTCCCCAAAGCCCCCCGGTACATAGTTGTGTATTCTTCGTTGTGGGTTCTTCTAGTTGTGGCATGTGGGACGCTGCCTCAGCGTGGTCTGATGAGCAGTGCCATGTCCGCGCCCAGGATTCGAACCAACGAAACACTGGGCCGCCTGCAGCGGAGCACGCGAACTTAACCACTCGGCCACCGGGCCAGCCTGCACTGTGACATTTTCTATTCTATTCCATTTTAATTATTTTTAATGGCGGTCTCAAATCAGTAACTTTATTTCACTGATATCTACTAATGAGTGCAGTTTGAAAAATACTGTACCAGAGAGTGGAACAGAGATTTTTTTTAGATTAATGTTTGCAAAGAGTTTTTTGTGTTCTGTTATATGCAAAAAGAATTTAAAGGGCAGGGATTCTGTTGGTTAAGTTTGAGAACACTGAGCACAGTTATACAGATTTTTATTTTTGCAGTAGGACTTGTCAGAGCCTATCATGCTAATATGCACTGAGGTTTTTTGAGACAGGAGGCGAGCCCCCAGTTTTTCCCAGGTTTACTGAATGCAGAACTCTTTTTCAGAGGAATCAGCTGAGTACTCACGGGACACACTTGGGAAAATCTGCTCCAGGACCTGGCCCAGCCAAGTGCCGTGTCACACAAGAACAGGAGGCTACAGTCTGAAGCCAGACTCCCAAGCTCAGCAGCTTTTTGTTCACCTAATACTCTGCTCAGCTAAGGAGGTGCCCACATGGGGGGTGTAGGAACTCCGTTGTAAACAAACAACTGCCACTTTTACAACCCAGACGGAGTGCAAGCAGTCAGTACTCCAGGAATGACCGCAGCTGGGTAAGCAGATGGAATTGAGTTCTGGACTGCCGAGCTGAGGATGCACCCAGGATCTGCAGTGACTCCACCTGCCCCTCACAAGATCCTGCCTGGGAAAATCAGCTTCTCTTTCTCTACTGACTCCTAGTTGACAGTGATTCCTTCAAGCTCTGAAATACTGTAATTCAGACCACTGGTCCATATTATCTTAGATGTGACAGTTTACTTCCCTGACTGTGGCTGTGAGTCTGTGACTCAGTATGTCTACAATGCTGACAATCTTTGACATGCTCTTTTTTGTTCCCTGTCCCCCTGCTTCTTCACTCTCCATGCATTCATCCGGGGAATATTTGCCATGCACCCTGTGTTTGGTCTTAATGTCAAGAATGAGTTAGTGGTACCACCACGTTAGAAAGTTGTCTGGCTATCTACTAAAGCTAAATGTATACATGCCCTGTGACCCAGAAAATCCTAGACCTGTGCCCAACAGAAATGCCTATGCATGTGCACCAAAAGCCATGTACAAGAAAGTTCATGGTGGCATTATTCGCAGGGGTCCCAAACTGGAAACAACCAAAATCTCCGTCAACAGCAGAAACAATAAGTAAATTGTGGTATATTCACACAATGGAGTGTTTTACAGCAATGGGAATTCATGAACTACAACAACACTCAACACTCTGTGGAGGGAAAGAAGCCAGCCGCAAAAATCGGCCTACATCTGATTCCGTTTACATGAAGGACAGAGACAGGCAAGGCCAATTTCTGCAGATAGAAGTCAGGTGAGTGGTTACCAGTGGTCAAGGTTATGACTGGGAAGGAGATGTGAGGGGGCCTTTTGTGGTGCTCCTAATATTTTGTTTCTTAGTCTGGCTACTGATTTCAGTACCAATTACACATGAAAATTCATCGAGCTGTAATACTTACGATGTGTGTACCTTTGTGTGTGTATGTTAAACTTCAATAAAAAGCTGCTTGAAACAAAAATTAACACATACTGTCTCTAGCCTCAAAGAACTCAATCTATATCAGCAGGCTCCAAACTTTTTTGATTATTCATCTCAGCAGCAATAAATTTTCGAGTATATCCTCCAATATATGCATCACATATTTACAAGTTATTCAGGTATTATCTACCTATTATAAAACATACAACAACAAAACAGAATTTGAAGGGGTGAGATTAACATGGCAGAGGGAGAATTTGCAGTATTTCGTTTCCACACCGTGGGAGAGCCCCGTATACAATGTTTGGGCCGCTCACCTCTCATTCTGAAACCAGGGCCCGGTCTGATGGGTGAGATCACCAGGGAACACATCCGTGCAATAAAAAGCCAATAGCAGAAGATACAGAAGCTGCAAAGAAGCCGACCTCTACCTTCTTCTCCCCCGCCTCAGGTGGACTTCCTAGGCCTAAGGCCTGTGCTTGGGGACCGTGCTTTCCTCCAGAGCTGCTGGGAGTACAGGCAGCACCTGGTACCTTGAGGCTGAGCTATGAATCAGACTCAGCCCTGGGGGCTTTGAACACTTGATGAGAGTGAAAAAAATGTATCATTTTAAAGTTTTGAGCCAAACTTGGTTTTGCAAGAGATGAAGGTTTATACCTTTGTGTCTATGTATTCTTTTCTTCTAGAAGAACAGGAACTCCTTTAAACTCCACCCCCTTCAAACACACACACACACATACACACACACCAATGGAAGCTCTTAGTTATGCGGAGCTCTCTGCTGAAATGGAGATTTTGTAAAGCTGTATTTCTAAGGAGCTGAATAATGGTAGTCACTAGAATGGTTCACCAACATCTAGCTCCCCCTCTCTGAGACAGTGGTTAGGATGTACACCCTCAGTTTGAAGTTAGATTTGGTCATTTTACTAGCTTTGGTCAATGAGATGTAAGTGGAAGTGACATCACTTCTGGGTGGAAGCTATAAGAGCCAGGGCACGACTGGCCACGTTCCTTCTTTTACACAGTGGCTGAAAAGCTTGTGTCGAGATGGAGCCTCCGTCAGCCTGGGTCTCTGGGTGAGCAGACAAGCAGCGCCTCCAGGAGCCCTCATTGGATACGAGAATGAATGAGGACTGAATTTACGTGTTAAGCCATTAAGATTTGAGGATTGCTACTGTAGCATAAGTTAATCCACTCTATTTACATGAATAAAATTACTTTTGAGAAGAGTTGCTTGAGAAGAATCATAAATCAGATTTTGTCACTCCTCTGCTTAAAACCAACCAGAGGCTTCACTTCTCCCTCTGAGCAGAATCCCGAGTCTCCCAGGGGTCTACCCACACTTTGGTCCTCACTGCTTCTCTCACATCCTCACCTGCACTCTCTCTCTCTCACTCACTGTGCTCCAGGACACACTCTCCTCTTCACTGTTTCTTGCATGCTCCAGGCAGTATGCCACCTCAGGATCTTTGCACTTACTGTTCCCTCTGACTAAAATGCCCTAGATTTCCCCATGGTTTGCTCCCTCACCTCCTTCAGGTCTTTGCCCAAGTGTCACCTCCTCAGTGAAGATTTCCCCAACCACTGTATTTAAGACTACACAACCCATCCCCCTTCAGTTTTATCTTGTGATTTTTTTTTTCTGAACCAGACAACTTTTGGGAAGCTATATTAAAGACTTTTCCATTTAGATAATCGTAAATCTCTCCTTTCTAGGAAA